CAGAGACGCAGACAGACATACACACACACTGCTGTTCCGACAACAGTCCTGTGAGGTACGCAAGGTGCAGGTGAGGAAACCAGCCTCGAAGAAGGGATAGGACTCGTTCACAAGACCAGCATGAAGAGGAGACATTGGGACAGTGGACTCCAGAACCAGGGCTCAGTTATCTGCTCTGGAAAGCTGCCCGGGAGAGCAAGAACCAGGCCAGGCCCACGCCTTCCCCCAGCTCCCAGCTCAGTGGGCCAAGTCCATGGCATGCTCCTGCTTGGGGAAAGTTGCTTCCTGACCCTGAGGAATGCCATCAGAAATTACGGCACTTAATAGTAAACACTTTTTTGGGTGACCACTTTTGGTTCCAGCAATTTTCTCCCAGCTCAGCGGCTAGGAGGGGCTCTGTCGCCCCCAAGTGGACATTTACCCACATGCTTCTGCAGGGGCCACTGTCACCATTCAGATGGCAGCAGCCGTGAAGCAGAGGTACAAAAAGTGAGAGGATGGAAAATTAACTTTGGAGGACACCTTACAGACCAACGCATTCTTTTTTTTTTTTTTTTTGAGTCAGAATCTCACTCTGTTGTCCAGGCTGGAGTTCAGCGGCATGCTCATGGCCACTGCAGCCTCAACTTGCTGGGCTTAGACAATCCTTCTGCCTCAGCCTCCAAGTAGCTAGGACTACAAGTGCACACCACCATGCCCAGTTAATTTTTTTTTTGAGTTGGAGTCTCACCCCGTCGCCCAGGTCGGAGTGCAGCGGCACGCTCACAGTCACCTCAGCATCGACCTGCTGGGATTTGGCGATCCTTCCGCCTCAGCCTTCCAAGTAGCTGAAACTACAGGCACACGCTACCACACCTGGCTAATTTTTGGATTTATTGTAGAGACGAGGTCTTACCATGTTGCTCAGGCTGGTCTCAAACTCCTGGGCTCAAGCAGTCTTCCCAGTTCGGCCTCCCAAAGTGCTGGGATTATAGCACCACACCTAGCCAAGACCAACTTTCTAAAATATTTATTTAGCATATAATCTCCCAGGGGGCAGAAACACGAGCCAGCCCACTCTTACACCTGGACAACTAGGGCTCCTGCCCTGGCCCATCTTTAGGAGGCTCCACTCTGATCCTCTCCACAGGGCAAAAAGTCCAGGGAGCCCATCCAAAGCCCACTCCCTTCCCCTGAACGTGGAGCTCCTGGCACTAAACCTGCCACTGTGGCTGCATGGGCCTCTCTCCTGGATCCTGACTCCTGGTGTGAGCTCCACAATCGGTGTATGCACTCCTAGGTCCCAGGAGTGGCGAAGGCACAGCTGTTGGTGGGGATGTGAACAGAGCTGGATGTGACACATATGTGTTTGAGTCCTCTCTTGGTGAGAAGAGGAGGGGTGAACCTCATTTGTACTCTAGCTTCAGGAACCACAGATATTAGGGGGAGACCTGGATGGTCCTTGAAAAAATTTTTTTTTTTTTTTTTAGTTGGAGTCTCACTCTGTCGCCCAGACTG